AAACTTTTCCAACAGCCACAAAAGAAAAAAATGAATGAATGAACAAAAAAATAAATAAATAAATGAACAGGTCATTAAAAAAATATTTTCAATGATATATTGTTTATAGAATTGGTCTATGGCCAACAGTGACACTTTGGTTCATTATTTAGAATGAACCTGTTGTATAGAAAAGCTAGATTTCTGGGGTGTGTCTTATTCCCCCCGTATCATTCCCCATTCATCGGACACTAAATGAAGCTGGTGAATCATCAAGCCCTTTTGATGATTAATCAAGAGTTTATCTCGGCATGCCGCTATTTATAGATCCCCTCTGTGCTGCGCATCAATATTTCAACATCCTGTCTCCAACATCACAGTCTGGCTGTTCTAATCGCACAGTGCCTTTCATCTTTTGCTGCTAGGTCAATTTTACGTGACAAATATGGACCACGCTTTCTCACTTGGCGAAAATTACACCAATCCACCTTAAATGGCTTTGTTTCTAATGTTGGCCTCTGGGAGGAGGTTGTTAGGGTAAGTGGGTTTTATTATGGCAGAGACGCCACTAGGACCAGCAGCTGTAACCGGTTCATGTCAAACAGAAACATGGTTTGAGCACTAGGGACAAAACCTTAGAGTTCAAGTTAACAGGGCACAACATTAGGACCTTTGAGGATAAACATCCATAAACAGAAACAATTAAATAACATTCAGTTTATGATTCCTCATGCGATGGCGCCGCAGACGGCAGCCTCAGTGTTTGGCTCTCCAGTGTTGAACGGCGTTGCCTAGCATCCATCTGGCGAATCTCCGCTCTCTACCCAACAAAACGGACGAACTTCTTCTGCTATCCCGGACAAATAAGGATTTTTCACAACTTGTGACACTATAACAAATTCCTTGTATGTGCAAACATACTTGGCAATAAAGCTCTTTCTGATTCTGATTCTGAGTTTACTTGGCGAACGTCTTCAATTTAAGGATATTTCCTGGGTTTATGTTAAAGAAACAGTTCAAAAATAAGTTCTGTTATCAATTCTCACTCTCATGTCATTACAAACCTGTATGGCTTACTTTCTGCTGTTGAACACAAGAGTAGATTGTACTGGTCACTATTCCAATATTAGTCCCCATTACACTGAGACTTGAGCTTCAAAAAAGATGCAAAAATACCATAAGTGTCACATAATGGTCCATAAGACTATATTTCAAGTCTTCTGAAGTTATATGATAGCTTTGTGTGGGGAACAGACCAAATTAAGATGTTTTCAATGATAAACATCTCCTCCACTAGGCTGTTAACTTCAACAAAAGTTAGTCAGTCCAAATGAGTATGAATCTTTAAGATAAGTGAAAGTGAATGAAAAGATCTGATACAAAATAATGATTTATCCACTTTCATAATTTTAGGGTCGTAGCTTGAAAGCATCAGTCCTCACTCATCTATGGAAGAAAGTCAGTCAGGTTTGGAACAACACAAGAGAAAGCGTATATAATAACAAAATTAAAATTTGTTTTAATTTTATTCCATTAAAACACCACAAAACTTACAACCTTGTTCATTTGTGCCATCGGCTGATTCCCTTAAAGATGACATAGAAATAAGCCCTCTTGGCAGTCCATCAAACAGTGGATAGTATCTCTAAAGCTTGGAGCCTATGGTCTGATTTTTTGGTCTAAGCGTTTTGAGCCGGGTCACTAAGGCAGATTGGAACATTTAATGAGGTAGGATCGATCTTGAGACCCTGTTGGTATTGTCGTATTGATCACCACCTTCCCCTCCAACCCCTTGAGAGATTTCCTCCCTTCCTCTCTCACTCCCTCATGCACACGCAGTTGGAGTCACAAAAGGCAAAGATTTCTGGAAAACATTTTGGCTGAGAACTATTGAAGATAACCGAAGAGAGATTATGCATATTGAAATCGTCAGGAGAGAAACTTCAAAACGAAAGCATGCAGCTCCACTCAAGACGTAGCTAAATCTGTATTCAGTTTAGAAATCTCTGCACTACAGTTCTGCATAGAGTCCAAACCGCACCTGAACAAGAAGATCTGATATATGAGGTGGAAACGGAAATTGCAAATGTCCTTGCAGAGCACACTGATGATACATGGGCATTACATTAAAGCAGCAAATCAGAAAAGGAATTTTTGATGATTACGATCGCAGCTGTACCTTCAATCTTACAGCCATTTTCCACTCAGCAACTCACTGAAGCATAGCTACAACACTTCTTTAATGTAATTTTAAAAACAATTTCCACTAAAAACTACTTACAAGAACATATAACAGCAGCTCATTGTGTACATCTTTTAAATAGAGCCTGCCAGTAGATAAATATTCCAAATTGTTTCCAATGTAGCCTAATGAGACATTAACAGCAGGGTTTTCTTTCAGTCCTGACTTTCTGGTTTGTTTAAAGAATAAAAAATGACAATCTAACCATTCCTTATGTAAGTCATATGAGTGATTCAAATGCAAATCCTCTATTACTTGTTTTGCATTAGAAAAAAATAAATAAATAAAAAATAAATTTGCCATTTTTTCAGACTTACATAACTTTATAGTAGTTATGAGTTCTGAATTCATTAAATAATTGAGAGTTTGAGAACTGTGACCGCTTAGACTAGTTTTACAAAGTAGTCTAGGGATGCACCGATACCACTTTTTCCAGTACTCGCCCGTTACGATACTTTTATTTTTGGTATTTGCCGATACAGAGTACCGATACCAATATTTTATTGCATTTGTAAATTTTTTTACAAAAAACAAAAACAAAAAGAGTATGTATATTGTTAGTTGGTTGACTTCATTTATCAAATAGATACAGTCAAACCAAAATTTATTCAGACACCTTCAACATTTCTCACATCATCACAGTTTATTCGCTATAGTGTAGAAAATGGTAATAAAATATAACAAGAATTTAGAATTAAACTGAGTCAGAACAAATTCAGCTTGATAATGTTAGATAACTTTGATAGAAAGGTATGTAATAGATTACAATCAACCAAAAAATATTCAGACAGCTGTTAGTATGACAGTATTTACACAACTAT